AAGGGATCGTCTCTGATTGGCTAGTTGGCATCAGTCCGCCCTCCCTCGTTCATTATCCCGCCAGCAAGGTCCCGCTTTTCGTTAGTGTTACAGCTGCAATAAACGAAGAATGTCTTCCGTGGAGGTCGTACCAGTTGTCGTTGAACAGCATGCGGTGGACACATGGGATTGGCCGCTGCAGCATAGCACCGTGGTGCAGGTGGTCAACACCGCCAGTTCGTTCGAGGTTTGTTTGGATGTCCCGTTTTTCACCCTCAAGGAAATCGAGGTACTGAATCTGAGGCTATTTTTATGTCCTCTGTGGTAGGACAAAAGGCAGCAATTTACAATCCTTGTAATAAAATTCATAAATTCGCTTGATCAAATTTTAAATTTTTTCCCATGTTCAGTTCCAAAGGGCATAAGCAGACTTTTAATGATTGTACATAACAGGCAATAATTGTAATGAAGCAAAGAAATAGAAACTTTCTCGAATTAATGGTGTGCTAAAAAATAGGCACCGGTTTGAGTTGTAAAATTTTCACTTACAAAATTTTCAATCTATGTCCATATCCTCCCCTACATCACGCTTCATTAAGCAATTACGTTAAAATCTAGTTCATCCGCAATATGGGTTTGTATACCAGCTTGTGGGTGTCGGCAAACACATGGCTCATCCAGAATCACATTTTACGGCATATTGTACTGCATTATGCTTTCAGTTGTGTGGAAGGGGCAGTTAAACACGCAACGACTCCATGGCGAGGAGAATAAAATTGTTTGAGCGAATAAAATGATGCGAGACGCATGATTCTTAGCATCAATAGAATATGATACATAACTATAAAAGTCCAGATTTAACGATGTATTCAACCGACCATTTGCTACAAGGAGTGTAAGCTGCCAAAGCATTGTTCGTGGTGAGTTCGGGGTGACTTCAGTTCAGCGGACAAAATGATGCGAGATGCATGTCTCGCTCCAGGTGCTCAAATGGCATGAATATGCAGTCTACTTAAATGGCACCCCCTACGCAATTAGGTGCGAGAAGGCAGTGCAATAGCCGGGAAATCTGGTCTTGAAGGACTTCGACGTCATTTGACATGTTCAGGCGTACGAACATATTTTGATGTTTATGCGATAGCAGAATACACTGCTTCTTAGGTCGTATGGTGAAGGTGATTAGCAACTATATAGCCCAAAGTCAAAACTTCTGAGCCAGTGAATGACCATCGCTGTAGCCTTCTGTTCATCGGATATGCTGCCATGGAACTTTCGCAGCGAGTATTGAGAGAGAATGTCCTGCATGGTTTGATTTTCATGACCACAGTCACACTGCGGGCTGGACTTCATCTTCCAACGATGAAGTAGGCGTCCACAGAGCCCTCGCCCGTGTCCTGTTCGAATCATGTGTCTAATCTCGATCTAATCTCGACCAGTAATGGCGAGCCAAGATCATGCCAAGGGGTTCTGTGGTCCTTGTTATGGACGGTTGTAGCTCTCAGCCTGCTCGCGACTGTTCCTCTAGACTCAGACGCGGCGTAATCGCTCGTTCCGATGATGAATGACGTGATTTCAGGCGTCGTTGTGGTAGCTGTTGAAGACATAATGGATTGCAAGCTGGTGACTTCCATCACTGTTTTGGTGAGACCCCGGTTCGCCCCTCCTGAAGTGAAGGAGTTAAGTTTGCGCCAGAATTGGTGACCACTGTATTTGTGTTGGTTTCAGGGTTCCTGCCACTATTCGCGTAGTTTCATTTGGTGCTACAGCTTCCAAACAAGGAAACCGTACTCCGCGACAGAATACCTTAGTAGGATACCACATAATGCGATAGCACCAGGACCAGGGCCTACTCCCAACGAGGTGCCGAAAAGTTTTCGTTACAGAAGTATTCTCACCTTGATGTTCTGCTGTGTCTTTTCCAGTTATTACGTAAAGATATTTTGGCGCACTCGTTGACTACAAAACTCAAGTGTGAGTTTTTCACTGACCAGTCGATTGTTTAGATGAAAGGCCGTCGCACTAGTCTTCTTCGGGTTTAGGTACAACTTCCACTGTTGAAAACATAGCGTCAGAGTGATCAGCCGTGAGTACGGAGCTTACCTTCTGTAAGCCAGTATGTTCGGTTGCTCGAGTGAAATCATTGGCATTAACGAACTTATTCGATGTTGCTGATGGGAGGTCGCTGGCATAGAAAGTACTGCACCTACTGGATATTCTTTGGTACCGATCCTTTCAACGCTGACCCACCCATCGATGTGGACCCGGTACGGACGGTCACTACTCATGGCTGCAATAAGGCGAAGAGTCTTCTGGCACCCGATTATTTTAGAGACTTTGCACATGAGAACATCACGCCAGACCATATCATAAG